AAATTCATCAAAGAGTAGCCTCAACTCTCATTTTATGAAAATATATATGTGTGTGTGTGTGTGTGTGTGTACATATGTGTGTATTTTTTAAAGGAGTATTGCTGAATATGAAACAGAAATGGTTTCTTTGCTGGAAGTAACTGGTGATTTTGAATAAACTTCACTTAAGGAATAGGTTTGGAAGTACAAAGTAAGAGTGTTTCTAATTAACTATGTTCATTTATCGGAGGACAGGCAAAGGATAACCTTCCTAGGCCCGTGAAACCTAAGTTGAAGGATGCCTCCAGGTTGCTTCATGGAACCTACTTTAAACAGTGACAGCTGTAACTGCTTCTGACCTTGCTCGATAGTTCCCTGAGAACTCACTGTGCAGAGGACTTTGGCAAACTATCACAGCATCCTTCTTTTCCCCTAACTAACAGCCCACACTCATCCCTCTATATACACAGGGCAGGAGCATAGAACTTTCCTGTGTCTAAAATTTCAACAATCCACCAAGGGAAAACAATCTTCTGAACAGTCACAATAAAGTGTTGGTCACGTATGCTGGTGACGTTTGTTTTATTAAATGCTTCATGTGTTCCCAGCCACCGTTCTGTATACCGCACAAGAAATGTCATGATAGTCAGCATACAACTTTCAGCCCCTCTAGCTTCTGATGCTTTGGGACATGGAGTAAATTATTAACTCCTAGTAAGCCCCCATTTCCTCGTGCATAAGGTAAGAATGAAAGTCTTTACCCTGCTCAAAGAGTGGTTGTGAAAATGAAACAATCTGTGTGCTTCTTCCACTGCCAGTGCTCAAGAAAGGATGAGTTCTGTGCACATTAACTGTCATACAAATATCTTTGCATCTAATGCTCACAACGCACTTCTGAAGGAGGGGTAGTGGCCCCATTTTAAAGGCAATAAATTAAGGTTTACAGAGTTTATTACTGGAATGTGCTAAGAGGTCCAGGTCTAGTGCTCAGATTTCTGTTTTTTCTGTTGGACACTCTTAGTTATTTATCTTTAAAAATAGAATTCAATACCCTGTAGGAAAAAAATATATTGGATTAATGTTTTAATATGAATCCAAGGTGTGATTCAATTACATATGTGGGTTACGCATGTGGTCAAGTCACTTTGCCTATGTTGACTGTAGTGTCCTTAGAGCAGAAGACCGAAGGCGTGGTCATGGGCGCTGTCCAAGGTACTCCTCACGCTCATAGGATGGTTTTAAGATATTCTGGGCAGGAAGAGCTTCTCTGCCACCTTTCTTGTGTTACTTTCATTGCTCACATCAGCAAGAACTCCAGTTCTGTTCCCATTAAATGCTGAAGACAGAAGACAGCCACAATCTTTGAGTGAGCAATTCTCACCTTAGAGAAAAGTAATAGGAATACACCCATTAAATTCCTCAGAGTGGGATCTCCTAAAAATATGGAGAAACCTCACAAGGTCTGCAGGTGGACGAGGCACTCTAGATAACAGGCAATTGGGTCCTGACAGATCACTGAGTGCAGGTGGATTTTTTAGGTGAAAAGATCTGTCAGATTATTCATTGACCAACACATCCCTCTGTCTTATATGCCAGGTACTATTCTACACTTGTGGATGCCACAGTGATTAAGATGGTTCAGAAAGTAGTGACTGCAGGGTGAGGTGAAGAGACGCTGTTCTGTACAGTGTGGTTAGCAAGGGTCTCTCTGTGATGGAGATTTTTGAGCCAAGATCTAAATAAATTCACTTGTTCATGGGAAAATCTGGGGATAAGCATGCCAATAGAGCAGAGAGCTGCAAGGGCGAAGGTCAGAGGTAATAAGGTGAACTTCAGGAAAGGAAAACTCACAGGCCCTGGAAAGAACAGCTCAGCAACAAGAGAACCCATATTTACAACATCTAAACCAGGCAGAAAGACCCTCGCTCTGGCACTCTTCGTGATTATGTCTCAGTTCAAGGTCATCAAATGCAAATGTGAACACAAAGGACTTGACCAATTACATTCATTTATAAGGCAAACTGAACGGGTCTCCCGAGTTCCTTGTCATAGAAAAACATAGAAATAAACCCTTTGGAGTTCAGAGGTGATGTGCGTCTGAGTAATAATAATCTTTTGAATGTGCAGGAAGAAAGATCTATGAATTTAAGTAATGACGACTTTGAACTCATCTTATGTTCCAAAGTTTGGAATGTTAATGGATTAATTAGAGTGTCACAAAACAGTTTGAAAAGATCATTCGGGGTGCAACCTTCATCCCTGTGTTGATAAGCACTTGTGCCAATATTTGGATTTTTAATTCATTTGAAGCTGTGTAGAATAGTGGGAAGAAACAATAGACTTTCTATTAAATCAGAGTTTGAGGCGTGGTTCCATAATTCATCAGCTGTATGACCTTGAACCAGCTACTTAAACTCTGAGGCTTAGTGTTTCCCCAGAAAATCTTATCTAATTATATCTTTTTTCAGAGTAGCTAGGAAAAAACAATGTATGTAATGCATCTGGTGTTTAGGTAAGCATCTAATCAGCAGTGACCAATATTATCCAACAAACATCTATGCAATGTAAAATACCACCATACAGGTATGTAAAATACCACCATACAGATCGGAAGATCTCCCGATAGGAAAGGCAGGATTACTACCCTCTGGAAACTTACCTGTTATCTGAGAGACTATAAGTGGACAAAATACCATGAAAACACAAAAGAAGGAAATTTTATATAATTCTGGTTGGAGAAGTTCCTTGAAAGAGTTTTAGCATCTTAATAGGTGGAGCTGATGTAGAATTTTATTATTGTTGTTATTATTATTATTGAGACAGAGCCTCAAGCTGTCCCCCTGGGTCGAGTACTGTGGCATCACGGGTCACAGCAACCTTCAACTCTTGGGCTCAAGCGAGTCTCCTGCCTCAGCCTCCCAAGTAGCCTGGCCATTTTTTGGTTGCAGCCGTCATTGCTGTTTGGTGGACCCGGGCTAGATTTGAACCCACCACCTTAGGTGTATGTGGCTGGCACCCTAGTCACTTGAGCCACAGGCACTGAGCCTTTTATTATTATTTTAATAGATAAACTGGTTAATACTGGTTTAAGCAAAGGCCTGGAACTGGAATTTAAAACCCAGAATGAGTGTGGAAAAAGGAAGGTTAGCTACCATGTGGAGTAAATGGACACAGGTGAGTGCAGTCTTCTAGCTGGTAACAGATCATGGGCAGACCAGGATGTTGCTCAAAGGAGCTTGGACTTTACTCAGTAAGCTAAGAAGGAGCCCTGGGAGGTTTCTGATTAGGAGAATGATAAGAGGAAGGCCAAATCTTACAGCAGTTACTCTGGCGAGGATGGCTAGTCATTCCTGGGAGGTATGAAGACAGTGTGGAGATGAGTGATTAAAAACAACCACTGTCAAAATGCTAATGCAATTATTTTTCTGGGTTGTAAGATTTTGTGCTATTAGTCTTTAGACTTTCTTCATTATATATTTCTGTATTTTTTTAACTTATGAGTTATAAACTGGTAAATTTTACAAAAATAAAAGAGCACTTACAAAAAAGAAAGAAAGAAAGAAAGAAAGACAGACAGACCCAGTGGTAGTCTCACTGCATTCTCTCCCTCAGTTCTCAATGAGGCATTCATTAACTCCCCAGGATGTGAGGGGCTGGATGTGAGGGGCTGGATGATATTCTCATGCCTTTTTTTTACAGAAGAGGGCATGGGATCATAGGAGATAGTAAGCAACCTACTTCCAGGCACACAGCTAGCAAGAAGTCCTAGGCCTGAGTCCAGGCGATTTGGCTCAGGGGTCTATACCCTCAGCCCCAAGCCGGCATGAAGGACGCCCACATTCTACCCCGCTCTGTCTTTGGTCTGGCCAGTCTTGAGTTTGTTCTTCTATGAAATAGGAGATTTGAAATGCCTTTCTGAGATGCCCTCCGTCTCCTGTCTTTCTGTTTATTTGTTCTCTAATTATACATTTCACTGTGGGTCTAATCTATTTGGGCAATATTAGGAGAAAACAAAAAAAAAAATGGAACAGTTGCACAAGATAGAGACAAAACTTCAAGCAATTTTATTTCTGATTTTTTTTTCTTCTGAAACTTTCTAGCTCCAAATGTACAAAAATCATTTTAAAAAAACAGGATCGGAGGTGCACATTGAAATACATACATATTTTGGTTTATTGAATGCAATGACTTGATACATCAGAGGTAGCGGCTAAATCCTGAAATCCTGTCCAAATATTGGCCTAATCTATTAGTTTGTGGTGCCCTGCTTTGAAGCAGGACGTTAGCTCCTACTCAAACCAGAATATCCATTTGCAATGACTAAGAGTGAGCGTCAGGGACTCCCTGAAGCCTGGTTTCTCTCCGCACTTACTCAGCTATTTGGGACTAAACACACACTGGTTTTCCTGGCTAGTAAACAGCGTTTCCCGAAGAGCTGAACTCACGCAAGCTGTCGCTCTGCTCCCTGGGGCTTCTTCCTATTTCAAGGTGCAGGGCCGGGTCCCTGTCTGCAGCCCGAGTCCAGCCCTTAGTTAGTTTGCGTTGTTGCCAAGGCAACTGGCCAGCCCAACAAAGCCACCGCGGTGGCGCGGGCGCGCGAAGTCCCGGGGCTGCCGAGCCATCTCCGCCGCGCGTCACATTTCCTCGGGACGTTCCCGGTGACCTCCTGGGTCTTCGGGTGATTTGCACGTTACTTCGCGCGTGGCGGTCTCTCTGTGTGAGGGTGATAAGGAGGAAGCCGGCAATTCTGATGGGCCCGACGACTTTATCCGGATGCCACTTCTGGTCTCTGCTACACGGACAGGATGAACGCGTTTTCCCTCCCTCACGGCCTTTCCCTCCCTCTAGCCTCTCCACCTCTCTCTCTCTCTCTCTCTCTCTCTCTCTCATGCGCTCTCTCCTCCCCTTCTTCCTTCTCAGGCAGGCAGTAGCCTTCTTAATGTAGTTTAATGGCTTTGCAAAGAAAGCCAGTCACAGGAGCGCTTCTCAGTGGCTGTGGTCGGACCATGACCTAGCTGACCATGAACTTGGAAGGGCTTGAAATGATAGCAGTTCTGATCGTCATTGTCCTTTTTGTTAAATTATTGGAACAGTTTGGGCTGATTGAAGCAGGTTTAGAAGGTAAGGGAGTGCTTTTCAGTGACTTCTAAAAATTCTCTTGTGTTGCAATGACAATTTCTTGGGCAAATGTAAGAGGCACCTGAGATGAGATCCGAGAAACGTTACTCTGGGGTGGACAGGCGGAAAGGCAGGTTTTTCAGGGAAGGAAAGATTAATAAAATAAACTTTCTGCAAGTTGCGGTGATGTGTTCACTGCCAAAGAATGTTTAAACTGTGAGAAACACTTGGAATCAAAATGTCAGGACCAAAACTGAAGAAATCAAGGATTTTTAATGGACATGTTTGGTTATCGTGACAGTATTTAGTCCCTGTGATGTTGAGTTATTTTATCTAATGTCCCCTTCATTGTATCAGCAGATTTGATGTGACTGTGTCGTGAGGTACACTTGTGTCTTGCTATGCAAATGCATTCATCAAATAGAAATAGATCTACATTTATAATTTCTTTTGGTTTAAGATTGGAGGCTAATAATGACAAGCTTTTCATACGGCTGTCATTTTAGAGAACTGTTTATAATGTTACCTATTTTACATAACGAGAGAGAGTCTAAGGAGAAAAGAGTCTCCAACTCATGACAGACTTTGACGTGTATTCCAAATAATCCACTGTTTTCAAGTGTTGCTGTTTACATTCATTAGATGTCCATTGTCCTAGTCTCCTTAACAGTCATCTCTTTCTTTAAAAGAACAAGGTGTATGCCCTTGCCTGTACCTTTTCTTGAATTCATTGTTTCTCTGAAAATTTGAGTAAATTCAGATTATTCTTTTCTTACTGCTGGAGATGTATTTGGGAGTGTGTTTGCAAGCAGCCCATCGTGGTATCTGTAAAGTTGGCATAGCAATTTTCAAAAGCATCTCTGGGTGATGTTTGACGTAGTTATGTTTGATTGTGCTTCTTGCTTCACATTTTAATCTTCAGTAAAAATGAAAATACAGCATCGATGTGTTTACATCCACCACTTCTCTTGTCCTTTAGAGAGTGGCTGCCACAAGGTGACATAAATAAGATTGCATGTACAAATAGCAAACGTCAAATTAAACTAAGTGTGTCACTCTGATGTAGGTTACCAGAAACCTACATTTACAATTCTCATTGGGGCTGGGGGGGATGGGGGAGGGGGGTGGTGGAAAGCTGTGTTTATTGGTTTAATTTTAAGGTAAGTTTGCAGAATGCTTTTGGCAGCCCTCTCTGTGGGATAATCTCTGTAGGATAAATTCACCATTCTGGAAGTGGTCACTGCTCCTGAAAATGGACTTTATTCTGTACCTTGTCATAAAACCACTAAGTTCATGTGGCTTTTCTGTTCATTGGTGTGTGATATTTTTCCCTGGGAAATGTGAATGGGACGCCCCTTTTTCATGTACTGGTTTTTATTCTGAGACTGACAGTGAGGTGGAATCATATCAGGAATCCTAGCTCTGTCTTATTTGATGGATGGTGTGTAGTCATTCTTTAAACTCTTAAGTTGGGGGCTTCTCTTCTGGATTTAGGGATGCCCCCCACTCCAGTATTGACTGTGCTTCCTTCTTTACTCTCACATACAAGAATGTGTGTGTCTTTCTTGCCAGGGCTGCTAACCTTTATGACAGTATTTATTGTTATTTCCCCTAATTATTTCTATTCTAAACTGGACTGATTTGTGTGAACAATCTCCTTTCCATATTTTATATTTTTTTTCTAATGTCAGCATTTTACAGCCAAGACGGAACTAATACTGTAGAGAAAATGTCCTCTGTTGGAAACGTCAATAAAAGTCCATGCCTCATTTCTGTTGTCTGTAGGAAGTAATTTTAAATGGGAAAATGTTGAAAAGCACATTAAGGCAGAATTACATTGATTGTGGCGAAGTTGACAGAAAGCATTGGTGCTTTCCATACTGACGTATGTGGACAACTTCTCCCCAATGTGAAGCCTAGAGTAAGGAGCCCACTAAGACAAAATTGAAGTAGGTTGCATAGTTACTTGTTGGGGACAGAAAATCAATGAATAAACTAATACATGTCATTGACTATACCTTCTATCTATAGATAGGAATGTGAACATTCTCGAGTTACAGGCCAACTTTAGTTAACAAACAGGATAAACAATATTTAACAGCAAAGTAGCATCTTAGCAAATTTACTGAAAATTTCTTTTAAAAAAAGAAAGAGAACCCTGATGCTCGTTTCATTCAGATTTGTGTTCCTATTCTGACTTCTCTTCCTCCCCTACCACTTTCCATATCTACAGGGAGGAGATGATAATTTATTTCACCTTTCTTGTTTCTGTCTGTTCAAATGTCCTAGTCAATGTTTTTGAGTATGAAGTAAAAAAAGTTGAACCGAGATGAAAGCCTTGTGAGTGCGACTGTGAACTCCTTTCTGAAATGATTAAACCTTTTCATCTAACCTTATGACTCTTTTGCAGTGGAGGCATCGTTCAGTGCGTAGATTTTCTTTGTTGTATTATATTTACAATGTTCATTCCTACCTGAAGGTTACATGAAATATTATGTTTGCAGAATGGGGCTATTATTTTCCTTTTAATATGTATAGAATAAATGTGCTTCAAAATAAATTGGTAATATAAAAGTCTAAACAATTTGTATCTGCTTGTCTTTGAATGCTTTGAGTTCCCATTTTGTGCAGATGACTGGGGATTGGGTCCTTGAATATCCTGGGTCCTTCTATGGTAGTCTCTGTGTGAAATGCAAAAAATATGGAATGCTATACATAGACTCATGCCATATATTTATAAACTAAGAGTTTTGGGGGGGGAAGTTGCAGTTTTTGGCCAGGGCCAGGTTTGAACCCACCACTTCCGGTATATGGGATCAGCGCCCTGCTCCTTGAGCCACAGGCACCACCCTGAACTAAGAGTTATATTTAGCAAGGGATATTCTTTCACTTGAGAAAATAGAACACTAGGAGGGTCAAAGATTCTTACATCTCCTCTGCCACTCTCTCACTTTCTAATCTTGGATAAGTCCTTTTACCTCTCTTTTTGTCTACAGGGAGAAATCTGGACCTGATAATCTCCATAGAACTTTCCATTCCAAAAATTTGATAAGTCTATCAGGCATTTAAAGTTTGGTAATTTATACAGCACACATCTTTTTTCATAAAGTAGATAGCAGTGGCCTACTTTGGAATTGATAGGCGGTGCCACTGTTGGACTAATCTTTCCTCCTCTTCCATAGTGGGATAATTCATCACACCTCAGAGTATTTCATTGTATTTCAAGAGAATAGAGAAATGTCCTTTCCTGTTGCCTCTAGAACTTGACATTTGGTGCTGCTATTTCAAGCATCCTTGTGAAATAGTTTTTCAAAACTTAGAATTCCAGTAACAAATAAGTACATCATACTATCATTTATAAACTTTCTTTGTAATTTAGTTAAACATCGGTAAGTTTTATTTTTAGGAAAAGAAACCTTAATGCCAAAGTCAACATATATGCAAATAAAGGTGTTAACCTGAGCAAAGGCTTGAGGACAACGCGCCAGGTCAGTGGCCAGTGTTTTAAATTCATAGACTTTCTCCACTCAGTAAGGACTCAGAGATGCTCCAGAGTTGTGCTGGTTTAGGACATCCCTAAAACCTCGTCCTAAATTGCCTGCATTTCAAGTATAAAAATGAAAGTAGTTTTCTGCTAACACATTCCAGGGAGAAACAGAATCAAAATTTTAATGACAAAGCTATTTTACTATTTCTATGTGCAATACCAGGCTATGAAAATATCTACTTTTCTTCCAAATATGTATTAAATTGTGCTGAAGTAGTTGCTGAATTAAAAAAATGTCCTCCTGCCAAACTTAGAGGAAGCAAAAATCTCACAAAAACCTATTAACACATAACTTTAAAATATCACTTTTATTAGCAATTGTCCTTGACAAAAGGTAAAAAGTTATCGACTGATAACTATAATCCTGACTTAGGATTTAATACTTAGAGTAAGTATTAAACTTTCTTTTCTGTTTGTTCATCTCACTTTACTTAGCAGATATATGTAATGCTATGATATAATCCTTCTCAACAGATCTGAATAGGTATTAGCTGTATACACAGATGGATTGCTAGAACCCGAGTGAGTAATTGTCCTGTACAGTTGGCAGAAGTGGGGAGGTGCCGAATCTTATCAACACATGGGACAACTGGAAAATACCACTGTGCTCCAGACTCTGGTACTTAATAAAGACTGAGGGGCTGAAGATGACGGGAAGGGCCTCTTATTTCCATGTCAAATATCTTAAATTAGATTCATAAAGCAGAGTTGTTGGTTTTTTGTTTTTGTTTGTTTTTTAATTCTCTGAGCATTTTCCTTGCCCAAATGCAATGCCATGCCACAGCTGATGGGTATTTGGAGTACCACAGAAGTCTGTCTAAATTGTAATATTTCAGAAGGATAAAAATAATAAATAGTGATCTTAGAAAATGTATATACAAAATCTTTCACATCAGCTAGGACTGGAATACAGGGAATACTTATACCCTTTATTTTTTTTTTTCTTTAGGTTCTCTTATAATGAATCTGTTAAGGAACAGATTGCAAGAACATTAATGTGTAAAAGGGATGATTGATAGGAGATTTGGTATGGTCAGAGATTAGACTCAGAGGATCTAACATTATTTTTCTTGGATTCTAATCACAGCTTCCCTTCTCATGAGTCATGTGACTTTAGATTATTATTTGATTGGCATAACCTTTATTTTCATCAATAAAATGAAATATTTATAAACAATATTAAATCTTGTTTTATTGAGGGTTACCTGTACACCATGCACATGGTGAACCCAGGAGAGCATGGTATGGTAAAGTAATGTCTTCTTTCGTCTTCACCATGGTCTTCTGAGTTAGATACTGTTTCTTCTTTACACATAAGAAAACTCAGACTTATAGGGGCTAATTTGGCTGAAGGTTACGTTCAACCAGTAAATCATAAAAATGGAATTCAAACACAGACTGTCAGACCTTTTCTGTAATTTTAAGATCTTAGTAAAAAATGATGGCAAAGCCTATG